TTAAAGATTGTAAAGAAAGTAAAAAAAGGTAAGCAAGAAAAAGAAAAAGAGACACACACAAAGATGGACTAGTTGGTAAAGACTGTAAAGAACATTAAAAATAGGAAGTAATTCGAGAGCAGTGTTAGAGAGAAAGGAGGAATAATCTTAAGTGTGAAAGTGAGATTTCCTGGTTTTCTTTTGAACCATCTTCTTAGCATAATCGATCACCTTGCCAACTTGAGCAAAATCGCCGGCCAAAGGGACATCTTCAATCATCCACAACTGGCTGCTTACCGTCATCTCAATCATGCGTGGTAGCAAGCCTCCTCGTTCAGCTGTGCAAACCTGGCCAGCCACCGAGAACGATCTTTCAGGGGCAGCAGACGCTGCAGGCGTGGCGAGGTAGTCCTGAGCTAGTTTGGATAAGACCGGGTATTTACTCGCATGGGACTGCAAGACCAAAACATTTGTCAGTGAGATGAAAAACTAAAGTATTAAGTTAGTATTACCTTCCACCAATCCAAAACGTATTGAGGGTTGTTGAGCTTAGACGAGAAAGGGTCAATTCCTTGAAGATATCGCTCGATGTCGGTTAGGTCACTTGATGTGACTACATCATTGTAAAAAGGCAAGAAGTCGTGTCCAAATTCTTCATGATCAGTTTGCGTTGGCGATTCGGATCGGGGACGAGCTGTGGCTGGTTGAAGGTCAAGTTCAAGTCGAGATTCTTCAAGTTTATCATTGTATATATCTTTCAAAAGTTCTTCAGCCCGATTGTTGCCTTTGGCACCCATGCCAAATGAGTGAGTGAAGAATTTAACTCGAAGGCCGGGATGGAAGACAGCGGCAAGAATGAGAGTGTCGCACTCCAGTGCTTCATTTAAATACTTGATGATCTTGTCTATCATCACATCTACCATGGGGTAGAGGTGATCGTTTTGGTGCATCTTCTTCAATCGGGCCTCCATGGACGCCTTGAGTTGAATATACTTTAGCAGCACCAAACAACCCGTGGGTTTATCTCCCTCCATCTCGCGGGTTAAGAACTTGAATGGCTATAAACAATTTTGATGTAAATGTAAGTTAGATCGAATGTAACAAAGTCAAATCGAAGAAGAAATGAAACTTACTGTGAGGATGTCCAAAACATCTCTCATTGCTTGCCAGTCCGCCACAGAGAACACCACTTCTTCAAAGTAACCAAGCTTCTTACCATCCGTCTTTGCCCGTCGTCTCTTTGAGTGAACCTCGGCCAAGTCATCTCTCATGACTCTATCAATGAGCTGAAAGATGAATCAATGACAATTAGCAGTTATTTAAAAAGAAGTGAAAATAAAAAAGGACTTACATCTCGTGCGGCCCACATCCGCTCCCAACGTTCCGCACGTATACCCCACCTAATACCATGCCCCGACAAGAGGGCCTTGAGGTTGGGTAGCCCGTCTATTTTACGTTGTTCATTTGCCCTTTCTCGGCGTCGATTGAAGTCAGCCCGGTGGCCGCTGGATCGTGTCAGCTTTTTGTTGACAGTATCCATCTAACGTAATGCAATCAAGACAAAAAGAAGGCATTTAGAATGAAATTCATAACAGAATGTCAAAATCGAAATATAATGAAAGTTGAGAGACGTGAAATGAGACTTACATCATCAGTTAGCTTTTTCATGTACGTATCACCAAGAAGATAAGCAGCCTTTCTATTTTTGTAAGTCTGAGGTTCATCTTGCTGTTCCTTATTGTCGTCTTCACTTTGATCAGAGTTTGAGTCCGAATTGTTTGAGTCACTACTGTGATTTGATTCAAGATCATCGTTGTTGATCTCATTGCCATCCGGATCAGTCTGAAGGTCGGGGACATCCACAAGCTGCTCTTCCTCTTCAATAACTGCCATAACCCCAATGGCGGGAAACCTACCTAATTGGTCATGTCGAACACGTCTGGGTTTTAATCCAAGCGCGTCCAGACCAGCCTTGACAATGAGGCCCATTTTGTGGCAGAAGCATCGTATCGTCATCGTTTTCGGATTCCAAGCAAGCCGGTGACCTGAGTGAAAACCTTCTTCCTCCAGCTGTCGATGCATTTCACGTGCCATGGTGAAATTGTTGCTTCCAGAGTCGGAGACACTGGCAAGCATGTAAAAGGAGAGGTGATGTCAGGATCAGAAATAGAAAGGAAATATAAAAAACGAAGAAAGACTTATCCTTTTATATAGATCATTCTTTTTCAATATTGCCACCATAGGCTCGGCGAGTAAAACTCCCTTATGATGCCATGCAACGACCTTCAATGACAAATGACGGACTACATATGTCCAGTCCTCCTTAACATACGAAACCGAAGCACCGATGAACGCGTGAAGATTGCCCTTCACGGTCCAGACGTCCTGAATCAAGCAAAACTTGCTTGATAATTCCTAGAAAGTACAAACGAAAGAGAAAGCAGAATGGAAAAAAAATGAGAAAGTCACAACAATGAGAAAAACAAAAAGGAAAGATACATACTTTCAGCTCTTGATCAATAACTAGATCACGAAGTGAGAGATAGAGTCTCTTCGCCTCTTCAGCGGACCATTTTCTACCAAAGACGCGGGCATCAGGCCTTAACCAGTACAATATCGACTTGAGGATCGGATCTTCGATTCGAATAAAGGGTAAGGCATGCGCTACTTGCCATACTGCAAGGCACTGGTTGAGGGTTTTGTTGTTGAAGGCTGGTGCTGTGTTTACAAACGAAGCGAGTGAAGATTGATGATTATCTTTGAGAGCTTGAGCACGTAGTTTGGAAACTGATGGAGGCAGCTTGGCTCCGGCCGCAATTGCCTGTCGACGGCGAGGACAACCGGCTCCTGATTTACCAGACTGGTTGTGCCCATCGCGGTGAGCCTTCAGATTGGATTGAGAGCTCGCGCTCACTCAAACGACCTTGCTGCACCATCGACAAGCGTATGAGAGAGGTGGTCCATCCAGAGGCTAATGATAACAATATATATTGATGAGTATAAGAAGTATAAGATAAAGATAAAATTGACTTACATCTTTTTTTTCTTTACAATGAAAGCCTGGCTCAAAAAACGTGAACGGACAATCAAAATCTTCGTCAACGGGTATGTTCCTCTTTCTCTTTCGGATCCGAGTGTTTTCTTCATCAGAATCCTGTGCCAAGTCGACCACAGGAGGTCCCGAGGGGTCCTATATGAGTTCAGACATTAGTAAGTCCTCTTTAGATATACATTACTGCAATTGAAGATTTTCACTTACCTCGACACTTTCTTGGCTTAGCAAGGTACCGGAACGGACCTGGTTCGACCCAAATAAGTTATTCAATGGGTGTTCTATTCCGATTGAGTCATGGCCTCGGCTGATGGAGGTACTCGTGAGCTAGTGTGAAGTGGGAAATTTAAATGTTAAAAGATATGTTTTAACATGTGAAATCAGAGATAGATGAACAAAATAAGAAAACTTACTGTGGATGATTGACGTGTGACTGTCTTTGATCGGCCACGAGCTGGTTCACGTATCAATTCGTCGCCTGGTAAGGAGGCTGATCTTTCTCGGCGTCGGTGGACGTGCGCGTCTCTGACGTCCCTGATCGATCTGAATGAATTCCAGTCTTCAAGAGCTCGTCGAGAGTCCGAACTGGGGGTGATCATACCGGGAGCTTTTTTGGCTGGTGTGATGATTCGAGATGATCTTCGAGTTGGAACTGAAGCAGTTGGAGGAGCCGATGTATCATCGGTTTCGTATCCAGAGGCCAGGAAGGAATCTACAGTGGTTTGCTTGGTCAACATATTAGTCTATTTATGAGAATAAACGAAAAAAATCGAAATGTAAAATTGATCAGTGATGGTTGAATGTAAAGTTAAGAGAACAAATGTGATGGTGAACCACTAGTTTGGACTGTAGTTGATCGTGATCAATGCTTACCTTTATAACCCAAAACAAGGACTCGTTTTGCAAGAAGAACCATATGATAGCCTTTTTCCATAACAACAGCCACTTGATTTCATTTGGTGAGGTTTGGAGGTCTGAGCGTTGAAAGAAACATGGCACTAATGAAGTCGTGTTGATTGATCTGGAAAGGGCGGCCATCGATTGAGATCTATTGAGATGAATTGGTGGTGTGGTGGCAGATAGCGTGGGGTGTGTTGAGTTAACTGAATGGTGGCTGTCCACCCGGGTACACCGCGATTCCGGATTTCGCCTGGGAAATCCCAGACCGCGCCTGAGAAAAAGAGTGAAACACGTACAGTATTGTTAGCTCAATGCTTGTATCCTCACTTTGAGTTGACCCACAAGCCCACCGCCCGTCCCAGACTGCGGGCCACGTGACTTTGGGTGTTGTGTGAAACCCCCTCATCATGGGTATACAACAACCTGAGATTGGTCGTCACAACCCTGTACGCACCACGACGCGCAAGTCTCCTCACCCCTTTCAGTACAGTGACTTAGACACCACGCACTCACACTGTCTACCAATACCCTTCAATCGCCCATGCTATTCAACCAACAACTTTACGATCACATCGAATATTATTCAAAAATCTCCCACTGCAAACCCTCTTTCTCTTTACGTGAAAGTCATTACTCTCCTCGGCTTTGAGCAATCATGCTCCTTTTGGACTTTGTCTCTTGTATCGAACATCAACATCCTCATTTGGCCGCGACTCTCACCGTGTCTAACCTCATACGTTTTGTCACCCTTTCCGCGGAGGTCTATCAGCGGGCCAACAAGGCAATCAAATTGACTTCCGACGATGGCCGAATCATCCCATTCCTCCAATTGGTGTTGAACCTCCCCATCGATACTGTTGATTACTCCGTACTGTGGAATCTTATGTTCGCCTCGCTGCCCTCCGCTTACAATGATCCAGCGGCCCTTATTTGACTGCACGGACTTAACCCTGTGCTCAACAAGACCAAAATTTACAAAAAGTACTTTGTGCCCCCTATCTCGCAATGCTTCATGTGTAACCGACCGCGGGGACACGACCTAGTGCAACGGCCTCGCATACAAGGATACATGTATGATTTGGACGGGATCCACTTGGCTGAGTTTCACACTTGGGCTTGCTTAGGTAATGTCTCCATCTTCAAATTAACAATAGTCGATTCTCATGTTTATAACTGACTAGACCTTGCCAAGGGCAGACTGCAAGACTTACTATCGGCCGTCCTATTATACTCACAAGAAGGCTAGGTTTTACTACTCAGACAATCAGCGTGCAGACCCACAACATTTCCAGGTGCATTGCCACTTCGGCATGAGTTACCGACTTGCACGCATGTTTTGGCAATCCCAGATGCTTGGACAGTAAGCACCATCTTCGATACATTTACAAAACGTCAACTTTGGCTGACGTTTTTCACACAAAGTACCTCTCACTTCAATTTAGCCAATCTGTTCAACGTTACCCATTTCAATTCTCAGCAGGTACCGACTCACGCTGGAACATCCCATTCTTTCTCTCCAAAAATGTCTCCCGAACTGGCTCGCGATGCCGTGGACCTTTTTAGCCTTCTCCGACGTTGTAAGCGCCGCGGGGCTATCCTTCAGCTCAATGCGCACGGTCAACAAGAGGATCGTTTGTTACCTACGATGGCGCGCGAGCTACATCACGTGGCCAACCATGGCTCAAAATATCGCGATCATTTCTGTTCGTATTGTGTCAAAGTATTTGAGGTGGAGCACGGAGGAAACGTTGCACTCAAGGGTAAGTATCCTTTTTTAATCTACCTCATGACACACTCTGAATGTGGCGTGTTTGCAGCAATTCGCGCAGTAGTGACCGATGGTCTCACCATTGGCCATTGGCGCTGCAGTGCTTCTTCGGTTCAGCTGGAAGAACTGGCCCATCGGGCCAACGCTCCTCCACCCAACGGTCCATGCCTAAATCCATTACCAACAGTCACCTCAAGATTCTGCAAGGAGCACGCTACAACCTTGAAGGGGTGGTGCGTCGCGCAACCTTGCACTTCCCTGGCGGCCGAAAATTCAAAAACTTGTTTGAACCCCGCTCACATAGAGGCAATGGAGGCCTTCGAAATCCGCAAGAAGAAACCCTTCACCCTAAAATCGATGCTGAATCGGCCTGGTTCCAATCTGCCGGCCGATCCTTCCGTTCACCTTAACCCGGATACCTTAGAGATCATCGATTTGGACAGCCTCCACCAGGCTGACGAGGCTGATCGTCAACACGAAGCCGCGCGGGATGGCGGAACTGCAAAGCCCAAAGGGACACCTTCTTTGAGCCGCAATCGCACACACAACAATCAAGTCATTGTTGGAGCGTGTGGTATTTTTCTGGCGAGACAGACATTCTATAATTCAGAGGCGCCAAGCGCCCTTAGGGTGAGATCTTGCTTGCTTACTTACAATTGATGGATGTGTAATCCCTCATGACTGCCTACTCCGTTGATACTGTTTGTGTTTGCAAAGGACTATCTCATTGACACGTTCCCCAAAGGCATGCCCGAGGTCATATTCTACGACAACGCCTGCAACTTATTACGAGTCATCCACAACGGAGACATTGACCCCGAACCATTTGCTGACACAATAATTCCGGTGGACCCATTTCATCATCGGGCTCACGCCGAGGGCGATACATTCTGCCGAATGTACAATGACCCTGAATTATTTCCCGATTTACAAGAAAATGGATCTTGGATTTTCAACTCGTCGGCTGGCGAGTTGAGTAATATCTGGTACGGTGGCTTTGCGTCTATGTGTCGCAATATGCAAGCCACCAGGTACGAATTTTTCCTCGAAGAGATGGTGGAGTTCCGCAACGATTGGTTAAGTGACGCATTGTCGTGTCGTCCTGATTTGGAATTCATTGGTGTGGGCAAGTTGTAGAAAAACAAGCTGATGGTAAGTCCATTTCATATGGACTCCGTCTTTTTAAAAAAAACCTGCTAACCCTGGGCATTCATCACCATTACGCGCGACGTTCAAGCGCGGTTGAACAATATGCCCACCTCTGATCAATCACCATGTTTGAATTCTCTTGTAATTACGCTTGTGACCATTATGTTAAATGGAATGACACGGTTTTTGCCAATGTAGCTCGAATGTTCAACATTTTGTTTCCCAAGTATTGCCCTCCAGTAAGGTCGTATAGGCACAGTCGCCCATACCATCATAGTGCATTTGCCACACCACACATAAAGATTGAGGCTGATACATTGGCTGCTATTGATTGGTAATAACATTGCTATCTCTGATGAAAGGTATCGTGACAGCATGTTATTGATGCGCATGAACGCCTTACACAAAGGTCGCCTGTGTGTAAGGCGAAACCAAAGGTTTTGTTCTCATATGTGTGCTATCACTTACTTTTAGCGAGGAAAGGTAAAAACCTAACGATAACGATAAGCGTTACTGTTTGAAGTGGATTTTGTGATTTGCTTAAATTCAGAAAATGCGTTTTGTGTTGTTTGTGTGTCATCTATCGTTTTTTCTTTTTTGGCAATACAAGGATGGATAATCGATAATCTAGTAGATGACAAACAGTTGAAAATAGTAGTCTTCCGACGCGCGAGCAACTATTTCCTGCTGTTACATCCATCATTACATCGGAATGAAATCAGATAAGCAAAGAAGCGTCACGAGGCAAAGGACTCGGGGTTGGAGAAAAGATTTTACAAGGGATACGGTTCACGCGACATTGACAAAAGTGTATATATACAAAGTGTAGAAAGTAAGAACCGGCTCATCGAATTCAATTTTCGGGCTGGATTGGTGGTGGTCCAACTGGGTAATAAGGAGGTTGCTGTGTTAAACCGATCACACCACACATAGGTCCACATACATGAGTTGACGCAAACAATTGCAAACCGCCGGTATAAGGGTTCTGCAAGAACCAATCTCGGCTGCGGAACATGTGGCTCGTCAGTTTGCGTCGCGTCCAAGCGGTGAGTGATAAAACGTACGTGTTGTCCATGATAGTGACATCGGTGATAGCCCATTCAACCCCACGGAAGCCACAAAGTAACGCTTGTCGACCGTGGTATTCATATGTCCAGTGGGTGAAACATTCCAGTAGGCGACCCAGAGAAGTGTCAGCGCGGTGCCTGGGTGCAAACTCACAGTCAGACGTTATGTATTTGGGTACGGCACCATCCAAAGTCTCTCGCAAGTTGTACCAGCGGATGCTTTGCGCCGTGCCTTCGGAATCGAGTCTCTGACGCAAGACTAAGTTCTCCACGACCTAAAGTAAGTGCGGTCGCATACTAATCAGTATGGTTAGTATGCGATAGGGAAAAAAATTTAATCTTACATGCAAACGCGAAAGGAGCAAGTGTTCTTCAGCGCTGAGATTTCTAACTCGGAACCGAACAACCCTCGTAAATTGGTCAAGTAGACACGCGGCATGCACCATTATCTGAGCGAACCAAAGGTGATTAAAAATGCTGTTCTTGGCGGGCTCAAGCGCGCAAACCACGCTGCCACGCTGCTGAGTAAGTGGTGCGTCCGTCCCAGCGGTGCAGCGCGACGGTGTCCACAGTGATATCAACTGGTTTAGGAGTCCACTTGTAACGAAAGACGTCTAAGGCGTCATTTGGTGCTTCTTCGCGTGGAACCAAGCCGTAAACCATGGCGTGCGCTTCGGGGAGGTCGTCAGCATTGGGTTGATCAAACGGCAGCGCGTTCCAACCGAAGTGCTCAGTTTCAGTTAATACCTTGACAGGGCAGACTGCGTTTGTCGTCAGCGAGATAACGTCACACCTGATGCTGATTGATGACAATGTGAGCGTACCAAAACCTAAATTTGAGTAGACGGTCATTATAAGATGGTAGGCCTGCTTTGGATGTTTGTGGAATCAAGGATTTAAAGTCTTTTGAAGCTGAAATGTGCCGAGGTGAAGTCAAATAGTGATGAAGGGTACGAAAATGGAAAGGTTTGGTTGTTTTTGGGGTGAATATAAGGCAAATTGGGGAACAAGGAAAAGCTGACGAACAAACAGGAATCATTCGGTCGCTCGGTTCAAACCTTTTAACCTTACCGAAACAAACACGTACTCAAGCCAGAAGGGAATTGTCTGGTCAGTGGAATCGAAATCGAGGGCATGGCGCCAATTACCACTCTGTTTATTTCATGGTTGCTCTGCCTATGTCGCAAAAGCCTGGCCACATGGAATATGAACAAAAGTACAGAACGGTTACAGACTGACGCAGGCAAAAACAGACTGCCTGGAGGTCACAAAGGCGGTGTGTTTTTGAAGGAAGTTCGTTAGGTCTATTGTGCGTTGTCTTTCGAAGGTACGTCAACCTCAGCCTCCTTCTTGTAACCGCAAGCCGCGTTGAATTCTTTCTGAAAGTGAGGTCGAGTTTGTGCCACGGTAAGGTTTTCTTTGCTTGATTCGCCAAGGCCTGGCCATTCAAGCCACCATTGATACATACGTTGATATCCAACCAAATCGATCCATTCCGCGTAACGGTAGACCATTGCAGGTGCCAGGGTATATAGGTTTCCGTAACGAGATTTCCACAGCCTCATCCTAGCAGTACGACGCGGTGGACAACCGGCTGAGTCGTACCAAGCGAGGAGCGAGGAAATTAGAACGTCTTTGCCAGGCCAGTCTCGTTTGATGACATCGTCCGCAGCTGAGGGAACTGTAGATAGCTGGAGCTCCTTCGGTGACGGCTTGACGTCATTCTGAAATAGGAGCAGGATTTCGTTAGTGTCTACTAGTTCAAACACCTGTTAGAAAAGTAGCCCGTCGATGTGATTGAATATCACCTACTTCGCGTTGTAGTAACCTCTGGTCCTCTACAGGAAGGGACTCTGGCGTAGACGGAGCAGGCATCTGTGGTTGGCTCGCGGTGGACTGGGAAGTACTTTGCGATATTTCAGGGAGGTCCGTTTCGGAGTCGGAGTCCAAGAGGCTAATGGTAATGCGTTCTTTGTTAGAGCCAACTGGATGATCTTGGGAACTCGATGGTTTCGGGAGGGTCATTTGAATTGCAGTGGGACCCAAATCGGTTGATCGATTTCGCACGAGTGGTTTGCCCATGCCCAGGGTTTCGAGGATATCTTGGAGCTCAACTTGGAGAGTGGAACGCTGGTGAGGTAGGCAGATGATCAGATTTTTGGTCGCGGGAGTGTAAGAATGGGGCAGAGCGACCCCAATCTCTCGCTGGATAGGAAACGCTCCTTTCAGTTGAATAATTCGTATAGGTGAAGTGAGATTGTGGGTTAAATAAACCTACCCAGTTTCTGACTTCCTCATCCCAAACCACTAGGTGCTCGTCCCATTGCGCCCCAGCCGCAGCTTGCGCCTCACGAATGAGGCTCGAACTGTTGTTCAAGACAGCGACCGGCCAGTCCTTGAAAAAGTGGGAGATCACCGGCAATTGCGAACCCTTTGGAGACCGCACGTCAGTGATACTAGTGCCGGCCGAGAAAAAAGAACGACTTACTACACAGACAAGGTGCAGGCTGATGACCTTCGAATGGTCGAAAGTGATCATGGATGGCTTGGAGGGCGTGATCGCAGGTGATTTCTCCTGTCGGGCGGCTGCCAACACCAATTGACCATCTGGCGTAAGAATCCTTCCAACTCGGCGAACACTCTGGGCACACTGAGCTGGGAGGATTTTGGCGCGTTTGGCTGCAGGTGGATTCGCAGGCGGGGCAGGTCGAGGCCCAGTGTTTAAGGGATCTGTATTAACGTGAGTTGGTGGCGGCTCTGTTGTGCGGTGAACGTAGCAACCCCCTGGGGCGGTGAATGCCCGACAACACTGGCAGGCGAAGGCATAATCATGGTCAGTTCTTTTTCTTTGCTGCCTGTGGTGATAACTGATAATTACCGATTGGCAAAAGACGGAGGTGCATCCGGCATGACCCATCTTTTTGTGACCCTTGGCAGTGGGGCCCACGTTGTGCCGGGCACAGTCAACAGAAAAAGCGGTTCGGTTGGAACTTGATGGATTGGCGGTCTTCTTGGGGCTGATTCTCGCTGGTATTTGCATTCCTTTGACGTTAACCGGCGGACCATGCGCAGAGGGATCAAAAGGAATTGGATACTTCGCTCCGGCGTTGATGCATGCGATTTCGTGTAAGAGCTGATTGAGTTTGAACGTTCGGATGTAATGCTTCGCTGAGGGACACTGCGTTGGGACATCGAGATTAGTGGCATGTTGGACAATGGTGAGGTGATGAAAGGACGGACGTTTACAGTGACGGTGTCCTTTGTAAGATCTTCCACCCGGCTGTAAACCAGGGATACGTTGACTGTGTTGGGGCACTCGGGACAAGCAAGTCCCATTGGTGATCCTTTGTCAGGTAGGGGTAAGGTCGGATGCGAAGGAAGTCGCTGGTATTTGATTCCTATGTACGGATTGTTGACCATGTTGAGATGATTTTCCAGGATGTCGAGCTCGAAAGTCAGAAGAAAAATGAGCAGCAGTAAATGGGATCATTGAAACGGTATACATGGTTGGTCCGAAAAGGGTCTCCTTGGGTGTCAAAAATTTGCAATGCTGAAAAAAAAGAGGAAAAAAAAGATTGTATTGGATACGCGTCCAAGCAAGCTATGGGTTGACGGAGGTCAAACGGCCGGGGCAGAACTGGCCCGCGCGCAGCAGATAAGTCCCGGGGGGTGCAGATACAAGGATAATAAAAATACACGTATGCCAATAGTCAGTTATGTATTATGCCCTGATAATTCTCAGGTGATAATTCTCAGGGATAATCCGGAATCGGGATGCTCCCGTCCACCCGGCCCCAGTAGCCGGGTGCGTAGTTGACAAAAATTTGGCCCCGGAATTCATGCGAAAGACGCTGCGCCCGGGTTTCCGGCTACCCGGGCAGTTGAGCGGGTGCGCCGAGCGCAGCGTACCGCCGCGCTGCGCGCTTTTGGTTACGCTGCGAGCCAGGCTTGGTTTGAGTAGTGACTTTGCGTGTCTTGATTCTTGATTGAGGAATGAACTTTGATCTGGTACCAACATACCGTGGAGCGCGATCAAAAGATAAAACATTGTTCTTCATGTTGCTGAAAATATCTCAGCACTAACAAATGAGGGTGTCATTTTATATTTTTATCTTCTCAGAGTACGACTTTGCCTTTAAAAATATTTGTGCAATAAGTCTAGAATCATTTGAAAACCATTTGATAGAGTTGATCATGGATAAATGACATTCAATCTTCGAGCACCATACGATGATATGTTCAATGTGTACACAATGTATGCATTTCTTGTGAAAAGCTTCAGCGCAAAAAATTAGGCAGGATTTTCGCTGATCGCCTTTGAAAACATTATAAATGCTGAAGAAATGTCATTGTATTCAAAAAATCCAAGAGTGATGCTGAGGTGTTGAAGTTAATGCGTCTCCTGCAATTGTAATGCGGAATCAGCATCTTCCATAATAATAATATATAAGACAAACCAAATGATACCACTTTCGCACCACTCATCACAAACCAATCAACTTTTCCATCACTGTTCAACACTATAACATCTCAAATCCCTCAGTCTAGTAAACATCCCATCTCCCCAAGGTTACATCTAACACATCTTCGCGATGAGTTCTGATCATACTACGAGCTCCAACGATTCAGAAGATACAAATATTAGCTCAACTTCTGATGTACTCGAGCAGCCTGATGAGAACACACAAGTGTATGTGTTATTTCTCCCCCATCCCAATCCCCCCTCGATACAACTGATCATCTCATCTCATGGCGCTTGCTAATCAATGTTTTTTCCAAATAGTGCTTCGACCCCACCTCGAATTCATAGGCCCAGACTCGAATTCTTGTGCCCATCAACAAAGGTCGAAGACGTGGGATTGGAAGTGCAGGAAGGCAGAGCTCTAGAGAATCGACGAATTTTAACTCTCATCCTTGACGACACAGAAGATTCAAATGCTTTTCATGGTACTTATGGCGGAGTTTCAGTGGCTGAAACGGGTGCGCTAACTCAATTACCTTACAAGAATTATGCAAATCCTGCTTTTTGGTTATTAGCAAATAGATGGGTGTTCTTACCAAAGTCAAAGAGTCAAAAATGTCCAACAGGTGTTAAAGTTAAATTGGAAGAAGACATAGCTTATTTGAAAGATGAAGAGGTCAAAGTTTTTACAGATGAAGCTTTGTTTGAAGCTCGAGAATCTATGATGGAATGGGCAGTTCGGAAAGCTGGATCTGATGAATGAGTTCATTTGAATAACAAAAGCAATTGAAGAACTTTACATCTTTGTATAAATTTATCATAAAAAACTAGTTCATGTCTCTCCTTTCTTATGTCAATCCAAGTTAACTTCCTTGTATCTTGGTTATGCTTGGTTGCCTTTACGTCTAATGCAAAAACCCTATTCATGTGGCAATATTTGTATCCACCTCTTGATTAGCCATTTATTATCTTCTTATCATCATATAATTGCTCTGAATGAATAAAATCAGAAATGGTTCTAAATTGTGAGATCATGCTCACTGAACACAAAAGTGTACCTCTGTCTTTCATTGACTTTTGAATTTAAAAGGCTTGGAATTTATGATGAGTCCTTCATGAGTGAGAAAATTTCCAATACCAACCTATCTAAGTCAGAGGATATGGCTTCCAACTTCCATGTAGAATTTAGTCAGATCCCTCTACAAATCTGGAATATTTCATGTCTTTAATGATAAATTCGGCACAATCCATCCAAATCTGGGTTCTTCTTCCCCCATGCCGTGATAATTCCAACGTCTTGTAGACCAAAATTATTTCAAAAGCATTTAATCCAGTACGCAAGATGTGCCCGGGATGATCAAAACTTCAAAACAAAATAAAGGCTAGCGTCCTAATCTCCATGAATCTTGTCCCACATAGCCTATCTTTGACATATGGTGAAAAGCTTTGCAACTATTTGACAATTCAGCACGTGATTTTTCTCAGAAAAATCTTGACATCCTTCCACTTCACCCCGACTGTCTCACATCTTTCACGGATTCTCATTTTGTTTGAACAGATCATCCAAGGAAAGACGTTGTCCCACTGGCATTGGTACCGGGTTCTGTGTCCGCGGGGCAGGCCAAACTCATACACGGGCTGTAGGAGCGGGTATTGATTTTGAGCTCCGAGTTTCGGGGATTTTCAAGAACATGGATTGATATCATGAATTGACGACTTTGTTTGGGTCAACTCAGCATTTCCAACTCAACCTAAGAACCACTCCAGTGTCTATTATCAACAAACCGAATTCATATCATGAACTTCCCTTCATCTTCACCAGATCTTCCAGCTATGTCTCAACTCTTCAAACTACCCACGCCTAGACAGCTATCTTCAGAACATCATCTATCATCTCAGCATAGCAGTACTTTCATTCATTCAGGACCAAGTCGACAATCAAATAATATCCAGCAATCAAATAATATCGAGCAATCAAATAATATCCAGCAATCGAATAATATCCAGCAATCTAATCAGCGTCGTTCATTTCGTACACGCAAACAATGTCAAATAAAACCTTACACAACTGAAACTCATAAATACCTCAAAGCACTACAAAGTACAGATTGGCAAGATGCAGTGGTCATTATGCCTCGTCGACCTCATAAGATTAGAGATGATGAAAATGGTGATGAATTGAATGATAACACATTAGATTCATTTATATCAGATACTTCTCCTACTCCAGAAATACCATCATCTCAAATTGGTCAATTTTGTGAACGTTCCTATAAGAGACGTAGGAGGGCATCTTCTGGTTAGTTTTACTATACCTTACACATCGACACTATAAAATTCAATATTCAATCCATTTTTGTTGATTTTGTTTTGTGTGATCTCTTTCAGAAGGGCCAAGACGGCCAAATCAACCCCGATTTCGTGATGAAATCATCGATTCTCAAACTACGCGTCCATCCAAAGGAAAAGCGCGTCAGAAATCGCCTCAATGTCGCATGCCGGTCTCAAAATGGCTTACTGATCCACCCGAACCTGATGATGCCTCTTATACGCGTCAACTCGATAGGACTTTATCGGCGTCTACATCCAATGGATTACCTCGTACTCCTCAAACTTTGACACCTGAGGCTCGAATATCTAGCCCGGCCACCAGCTTTCCTTCACATATCTCACCTACCCCTTCGCCTACCAGTTTTCGTCGTACATTCTCTTTCAGTCCAGAGCGTGCCCATCACCATCTTTCAATGCGTCCACCTCAATCTCGTCACCCTCGCCGTCAAACAACCTCATTCAAAACACTCTCCAAACAGAAGTCGACTGATGCTGCGGTAATCGGACGACCACGTGTATCAGTCCCGCATGCAAATTTTCAGTCATTGATTAATTCAGCAACTGGAAACTCTACCCGATCTGTTCAAAACAAAGCTTCAAGTCACCGAGCTTCTGTATTAGATCTCACACTTGATTCATCGCCAATCTCCAATCAAAGAAACCGCAGCAATGGGACCAATACTATCGCTAATCGTTCTGGTCAAGACCCCCAACCTTCGACATCTTATCGGACCTCAGTCAGCAAGACAACTGGAAAGACTCCTAAAAAACAAGTGGAGAAGCGCAAAGAATCCGAAGAGAAAGAGGAAGAAGACGGGGAGGACGGGGAGGACGAAGAAGACGAAGAAGACGAAGAAGACGAAGAAGAAACTGCCGATGAGGCACTTTTCAGAGAAGCTGTATTGCCAAAAAAATCCAGATTGAAATTATTAGGCAGAATGATGCCCAAAAGCTATGTGAAGAAAGCAGCCAAGGATCTAAAATTGATGGAACAAGAGCGTAAACATGGACGTTTGAAGTTAACGCTTTCAGGTTCAGATACAAATGGATCTTCAGGATCTGAATCTGAAAGACCGACGAGAATAGCTAAAAAGACCACAACTCGTCCAGCTCGAAGACCTAGTATATCTCCCCCTAGGAAATCTCGTCTAGATCCTTCTGACGATCCTGAGCTAGAGCCAGAGCGTCCCGGAATCACTTGGGCTGAAAAATTAGTATCACGCGTACCTAGCGCTCAAAATGCAAATACAGATCCTAGTCATGAGATGCGTCCGATTCGATATAATTCCCGTCGATCACCCTCGCCAGAGCTTCGAGGGGCGAACCCTCCTGCGAAAAAATCTAGGGCTCATCATCAAACTGAAGAGACGGACTTGGTGATCTCTCTGAAAGATGATCATGCTTTTTGGCGTACCCATGAATCAGCCAATGCAATCCCAAGTCTTAATCTAGCACCTCCTTCAATTCGAGCTCAGCAAAGTGGCCCCCAACCTATCAATCCTGGACTTCCGATCACCTTGTTAATCAATGCCTTCAAAGATTTCACACCTGATTTTTCAATTCCATCCCTTAATCCTGACATCAAGATTCAAAGTGAGACGAATTATTTGTCTGGTGGATATCTCTCCAATCTACTCAACATTATCCAAGGTCATACACAAGTACAGATAGTAGATATAGATACAGAAGAGTCAAAAGAATTCTTTGGTCAATCTTATAGTATGACCATGTCACCTATCACATTCGTCGAACGTTTGGTAGAAGCGGCTGATCTTGTACAAGATGAATTGAATTTATATCTCGCACTCGATTCGGCTCGAACCGCTGATGCACTCTCACAAATGTCTCATGGGTTTCGATTCTTTGGTGATTTTGTTAGTCATCAAAGACCTACTCCTACATCTATGATGTCAGTTGAGGTATTGGCCGAAGAAGTCAGCAAATGGACCGATGAAATGATCGATCGACTTGATGATCTTGCTTTAGATTCTGTTAATCGACCTGAATTCAGTAAATTGATGCTCATTGTTAGTTGGGGTCTTTTCGAATTAGGATGTCGACTTCATGCTCGAGTGGGAGGATCGGAGATTGTAGAACGTGCTAATAAAAACCTTATACGGCGTTTGCTCGAATATGGACCACCACATACGATGAGTAGTTTGAAGGAGGCCATCAAAGATCCTCTTAAGCCTATCACCGACCTGTCTATCGAAATCTGGGTTTCATTAATCAACATTGTGGTGCTCAATGGTGCTCCATCCAAAAGAGCGGCTTGTTTGGCCAAAATTCAATTCTGGAATACCGTCACCGAACAAACTCGTCAGTTCTCAGAGAAATCAGGTTTGATTGGGTCAGTAGCACAGGGTGAAGCACAAGGATATGTTGCTATGTCACTTTGTGCCTTTTCTCAATTTTCGCCTGATGGTGTCTCTGCCAAGGAACCTCGGATGGAAGCACATTGGTCTGTGATTCAAGATCTATTAGAGAACTTGACTGAGGACTGTTTTGCTGAAGGATTGAGTCGAATAGCAAGTGATAGAAGAGATTGTTATGTACGATCAATCTTTGGTAGAGCTTTACTCTTTCATCAACGTTGGAATTGGAAATTAGTTTTTCAAGATGGGATGTTACAGCAACTCTATAAGGTATTCCATCAGGTCAAATTTCAGCAATTACGATTTGAAATCAATCATCCTAGAAGGTTCGGTGGACCCGATGCGTTTCCTGAAGTATTAGAAGATTTAAGTTCATTTCAACTTACTCAATGGGGTCCACCTGAAGGTCTTGGAGGGCAGCCACTTCGAGATGCAGACACTTGCTTTGGCATCTTTCTTAAACTGATACTGGCATCAGCCAACTCGTTAGAATGGCCATTAGACGCCATTAGAAGATCAGAAATTGAAAGAATCGTTTCAACGTGTACCCCAGTTCGACGAATTAACTTTGCTCCGTTGAAAAAAAACTTAGGAATAAAGAATGAATTGATCAGTGATCAAGACCGGTCTGCTTTGATTCAAATTTGTAGTTTAAGTTTGATTTATATCGCAATCTTACCAAAACAATCAAGAAGACAAATCCAAAAGATAGAAAAATTTTATGATTTTGGTCAAGTTGATGAACCTACAAGATTATTTCATTTTAAAATATGGAAAAAATCCACTGAGATTTTACCTTGGTGTGAATTCAAAGTGAACGCTTTAGTAGAAAAGTTTTCAATACCGATGAAAGTTTTATCTAAAGAATTTAATGAACTTGATATAGAGAAAAAAGCCGTGAAAGTTAGATTAAATGGATTTAATAAGGTTAATTCAAATTCTAGAGATAAAGAAGCGGAAGTAAGGAAATTAAAAGATATCAATGAAGGAGTTCAACAAAAGATTAAATTGATTGAAAAGTGTTTGAAAACTGTTGAAGAAGTCATGAAGGTTTGGAGGGAGATTGAGATTAAGCAATTCATTGGATTTGAATCTCAATGGGTTTATCCTGATTTAAGCTGGTTAGATTCTGGTGAGTGATCTTACTGAATCACGATCTGAATCGAGTTGCACACTGATTTTTGACCTTTTTCTCTCTGATTGAATATTGATAAAAATAGCTTGGTCCATTGAATTGAATCAAAATGAGATTTTTAGAGAAGGATCAATCGGAAGACTTGCAAATCGAATAATTGGAACTTTCTTGGATCAACGAGATTTGGCAATCGAGAATTTAGAGAAGATGAAGATGAGACTCAAAGAAGGCGAAAATAGTATAAGATTAGAAGCCGATGAAGATGAAGATGAAGATGAAGGAATCGAATTAAGGAAAGACATCGCAAGTTTGGAGAAACGAGAAAACGGATTGATTGCAGTGATTGAAGATCGATTAGTGAAACCGATTTGTGGATATCTTGTTTTAATGATTAATTCGAAGGGAAACTTGGAAGAGATGAAAAAGGAAGAGATGAATGAAATGATTGAAAGTTGGGCAAGATTAGATCAGATTAAAAGAAGGAATGGAATAGAAGTTGAAAATTGGATGAATCAACTGAAAATCAAAGATCAAAAGAATGGAACCAACTTCGTTGGAATCAAAGATGAAATGATAAAGATTATGATCGGTATAAAATATATGACACTAACTATCAAGATCGAAAAAGAAAGGATCAATCAACATAATCAACTTAAAGAAGATTCAATTTCACTATGGTTTTCAAGTCTTGTCATTCATGAACTTCATCTTCAAGAAGAATTTACGAAGGAGATCATCAAGGTCGAGAAAGAGATTTTACCTTGGGAAAAGATTAAGGAGATTATTGAAGACGAGGATGAAGATGAGTTTGATGTCAAAAGGATTCAAATCATCCAAGGTTCGTTTGTATTTCTTTTCAAGTTTAATTTTTCCAATTAATTCTAATAGATTGATACTGATTTGGAAAAACAATCTTTTTTGTCATTATACAACACAGAAGTCATAAAGAAATTTATAAAAGAAGGAATATCAATAGAAAATCGAAAATATTTAGGTATAATGTCAGAAACGATTTGTAAAAGTTATGGAGAATTATCAAGAAAGAAAACTGTAGGTAAAGATTCAATTGATAGATATGTGAATGGACCCATCAAATCATTTATTAAATCTATTACTGAAGATCCTCAAAGTTGGATTGATTGGAACTCCGTACCCAAGTTGAGGATGTTGAAAAAGTTTTATTAATGAAAAGTATTGCCGTTTTTTATTTTTGGTTTATTTGGATCTTTGCGGGTTTTTTGTTTGAGGATTTATCCATGTATTTTTCTTGCAGATGGTTCCGACCTTTGATAAAGTTTTCTTGTATGATTATATGAGGTTTGAAATGTATTTGTAAAGGACATTGATTCACTGTTTCCACTTCCTCTGATGCACACACATCTGTAGAGAATCGTGGCTTTAAGGGTAAAGGTTTGGTTAGTACATAACTAGTTATATATTATTTTTCTTGTTTGATTCATGGTCTTGATCAGTCAGATTCAAAGGTATGAATGAGAAAGGTGATAATTCTGAAAGGCTGGATCTTAGGAAGAAGATTTTGTAAAATGAGAGAGTCTTCTAATTGAACATACTTTTCAAGTACCTCCCTCAGCAAAACTCATTGAGCTTTGTTTGCGAGAGAGCCACTTTGTTAAGTGTAATTCGCTTACCCTTGAGCCAGGAGCTATGACTTACAGTTGATGATAACCTTCGCTTCTCAACGGAGAGATGTGTGAGCAGATGTGAGCCTTGTGAGCCTATCCATGTACAGTCCAAATTGGACGCTAGCCTGCTAAATTTTACGCTCCAGTGAAATCCCTGGCTGTTGGGGAAAATAACGCGTCTGGCTGCTTGAGACGTACAGTTGTATCACTAAAAGGGATACAGGGAGTTTCTCAAGTGGTCATCCGTGATCTTTGCCCATATCCCGTGATTCTTGAACCGCAAATGTATACCCTGAACCTCAAATATCCAAAAGGTCTTCATCCTCATGACCTACCACCTGAATTCTTAAATCGGCCTGCGGCTTATTTGACCCAACTGTTCGAAGAAGGGGGTCCCGGAACCATCATTCAATTGGCACAATCAAGTATTTGGGAACTAGAAACATTAATCAAAATTAGTACAAATCGATCAGAACTCAGTACTTTTGGCTACCCGATCGATCCATCACTTCAAGCCCAACTTCACACAATCCAAGATCCAACAGCTATCTCGTTCTATGAGACCCATTACGTGAAGATCTCTCATCTCACAGTCGATGGCAGAAGACCCGATAAGGGTTGGGTCGAAAATGGCACTGCTCTGATCGTGTGTGGTGGTCGGCAAGCAAAGGATCCAGTGATACAATACTGCACTCTTAAACATCCTCGTGGCTGGTCATGTTTACATGTGAGCGATTTCTGATCGTATTCTTCTAATTTTCCTGTCAATCTGTCTTATCATGATTTGCTTAACAGCTCTTCAATATGTGTTCAGGTGGACGTGTCATTGGTAATAAAATTGGCCCTGCAGGCTCACCGGCCCCAAACGGTATGTCTCACGATCGAGATGTCCTCTATGTTCAGATCGGTTTGACTCTAAACAATTGGCGCGTCACGTACTCACTCTTCTAGGTCCATGGGCCGATGGGCTGAGTATAGCATGTCGCAACGGGCTAATAGTCAGCCTCGCTTTTCCTTACTTTATCTCCACAATTGGTAATGTCGTTTTCTCTCAAAGGCCAATAACGAAATCGTGGATGCCACGGACGGCGCGATCGTTCTCTTTTGCGCCCCCGGCACTATCTGTACTGGAAACACTATAATTGCTCGTACTCAAAACCTTTTGGTAAGCGCAAATTTTATTTTCTTACTTTCCTCAAAAACTGATTTTCCACACTCTTTATGACAGGGCGCAATCAACATGTGAGCACGCTTCGCGGCGGTACCCTAGAAAGCTCTACATGCTCATATACCTGCGGATCCAACAGGGTTGATGCGGGTCCATACGAGATGGATTATACTGATACAAGAGTCTTTGGTAATATTATCAAATCTGAAGGCGCTCATATCAAACTTGGAATTGGGTCTAGTGAATTTCTCTTTCCTCAGTATAGAAATCTGTTACTGACATTCGTATTGTTTTCCATAGGATTGGTCCTTTGGCTTGGGCTCCTGGTCCAGAACAACATAACTTCGGGGGGCAAGTGCATGATAACATCTTTGGGCCTGGTCGTTTCGGTAAACTCATCATCAGCAACTTTGACATTGAGCTCTCTCGCTCGCTCGCTAATCGTCGTATGGTTTTCTTTTCCTGAATAGGTTATGCGATCGGTATTGCAGGCGCCAAACACTTTAGTGTCCAAGGTAACAGCATTGCAGCAGGAACGGAATTCACTGGAGATATGACATGCATGCCTGAGCCTTTGAATGCGCCGCCGATGGCGTTTCTAGCTAATTCAAACCCAGATCTAGTGGTCGATTGTGACTTGCAGTCTAATTTCAAAAGAGGAAGAGCATGCTGGTTGATCGGAATTGAGGATGGACCACTCCGCAAACTACGTTATGATTCTGACCAACTTCATCTTCAATCAAATTCAATCGACCAATCTCAAATAGTTCTCGATAAGATCACCTTGAAGCTCCAAGATGATGGACTTTTGGTCGCCGTATGTAACACCACACAGTCTATCCTCTGGAATTCTGGAAGTAGTGGTGCATCCGGCGGTGCAAGTCTCACACTGAGCAGCGATGGAAGATTAACGATAAGAGAGAATGTATCGGGTCGTTTGATCTGGAATCCTACGGATTATCTGGACGTCAAAGTGGAAATGGGAAGAGCTAGTTTAACTCTTGCTGATCAGTCTCCATATTTAGTCTTATGGACTGAAGATAATTGTGTAGCTTGGGCTTCCGAATACGTTTTTCAAAAAGGTAGTTTTGAATTGGTAGTAAGGGAATTTATCTTGATTCCCCATCTGATTCCTGTGTTGCAGTCGAGGTATCTTCTTTGACTTTTCTCACAATTTTGCAATGGATGCATTCAATATCAGGCCGGTCAATATATCTGTATACCACCTCATCAACCCAGAAGAGTTGGACCTGTTACCGGCCCACCACCAATTCCTCCAAGACCGCAATACGGAGATTCACAACCTCCGATCATCCCACCAAGGCCATCACAGCCTACTTACCTTTACTTGGATCCTGATACTTCCAATCTAGTGCTTCACCAAGGCAGGCTTCCTGATCAACCACATGGCTCAGTAATCTGGGCATCAGAGTTTTTCTCTAAGTTCAATCGTCAAGTGAAAAGTATGGATCGAGCAAACTGTCAGACACGCTGTTGTTTTCAAGGAGGCGATGGGAACTTAGTCATCTATGGAAATCCAGATGATTCAAAACGTAAGTGATGAAAAAACTTGGAATCCTCTTATTTGTTCTCGCGGTCATACTGATCGCACGTGTGTCTGTGTGTTTGTGGATTGATAAAAAAGCGGAAGAGAGAACAGCTTTATGGGCTTCTGGGACTGAATCTCTTTGGATTAGACTTGATCAACATTTGCTTCAACAGCAACATCCGCCCAGTCTTTCTTTCCATGATCACACGATGGAACTTGTCAGGAAGATCCCTTGAGGGGTACAAAATTTTCTAGGATTTAACTCAGAGGAGGGTACGAGGAGGCAATCTTACCAAGGCAATGAATTAATGGACAAAATGTAACAGATGTACATTGGATACATGAAGGGCAGGGGACGCGATGCAGAGTATAAATTATAGAGGTAATCGATGGGTAGAGGTAAAGTCTATGAGAAAAAATAAAAAATGTCCTATAAGAGTTCATCAATAAAAAAAACATTCTGAATCATGAACTCCGGCAAGATCTTGTTTTTTGCCATTCCTTTACGAATTCATGAAATTCCAACAATTGATGATTTGTTAAGACTTCGACTACTCCTTTCCTCATCTTGGCGATATCTTCTTCTATTTTATTTTTGACAAATTCTGGACATATGTAACCTTTTTCCAATTGTGACTTTGATTTTGGGAGGAACGCCCATCTCTTTGACATTAACAAGCCTACAGACCTGTTATGATTGGTACAAAAAGTTCGATTGAACGTACCAGTTGCAGATTCAACAATTGAACTAGATGTTCCTTGAAGAGGATTTGGGTTCCTTGGCTCCTGGATGACGAGTGTTAAGACTCGTATATTTTTCATAGGTCTTCCTTCCTTTGCTGCTGATAAAACAGCCGCGATCTTTGCTGTTAGTGACAAGAACTCGGCTTTGCGCCTGTGACGTCGCGATGGGCGTTGATCACTAGTCAGAATAGCAATGATCGAAAATATCAACAAACTGAAATGATCAGTTTTGACGAGGGGTAGTTGAGAGGAGGGAGGAAGAACGCCTACACTTCTTTCTCACTGTGAGAAAACATTTTGAAGACTTGTTGGATGGAGACGTAGTTACAGGAAAGGCTCAATGGATTGTTGCCAATGATCCAAGTAGTTGAAGAGTGAAGATCAATTCGATTGATTTGTGGCGCAAAGGACGTGGGAATCGGATGAGATGGTCGCTGTTATAATTTGTCAAAGATGTTGGAACTAAGTTCAAGGATCAGAGTCTCAGACTCAGCACTACTGCTGGAGTTTGTAAATGTGACCCCCTCAGCACGATTGTCTTCAAAGGCATCAATCAATACGCCTAACCTTTTTTTGCGCTGGATGACCTGTGGAAGGAGAGTAAATGGTGACTCTGAGGTTTACTTACTTTGGATTGATTTCGAGTGGATATGAAAGACGTTGTATCAGCTTCCAAGATCTCTAGGACATAACTGAGTACAAAAGCTTGAGTTGGCATGCTTTTAACAATAGGTTTTTCTGCGCTCATTGATAGTAAGCATTGCGTCAATATCTCGGTGCGTGATGTTTGTTTGTAATCAAAGACTCAGAGTGGATTGTTTTGTGTGGCCTGATATATGGCTGCTCTACACTTATTGAGGCTGCCTTTGACAGACGAAAACCCTTGTCCGGCAACATAGATGAACAGTGAACTACGCGTGAACAACAGTCGTAAATGACACACTGCTTTTCACTACGGAAAGCCTTTTAAGCTTGTAGAAAAAGAGGGCTCATAACTTATTCTGAGGGGGCGGGGGTCTGAAAGATGGGCAGTGCTCATAACTTTCGTGGTTCTGGTCGCAGCCATGGTATATTTCATTATCATGGAAGTCCGGGCTGCTTGACCGCTACCTAATCTATAGTTGACAAGACTGGTGCCCTCGGACTCCTGAGGCATTTACGACGGCAGACCTCGGAGGGGTTGAGGCGTTCCAGGTGGGTTTGTTACGCCAGGAGTCAGACAAGCGTCTTGAAAGATGTTGTGTAGTCCGTAGATTGTATTTATTTATTCAACGAATATTGTAATCCTACATTCAATCTGAGTCGTGCCAGTGATACGAATACAGCTGTTTACAAAATCGGTGTCATGTGTGCAAATTTTTGATCACTTTTTGGTTGAACGCCACGGCCCTGTACAGCGGATACAGGGCTGTACAGGTGGTGTTTGGGTACCGGCTGTGCACCACGTGAACTGCCCTGCTCCAGTTTTTACCCTGTACTCGCCCTCGCCTCAGATTAGTGGTCCATTTGTTTGGACCACCATTCAATCACCCTCCGGTCCAACACACCACGTATGCCATCAGCCCCCAAGAATCCTGATCTCCTCAACTCGATTCCTCCACAGGTTGCTTAGTCTGCCCGCTTGTTTGGCATTCCAATTCACAGAAAGACCCAAACGACTCATGGCAACGGTATGACTCCATTGGATCTGAACGCCTCGACTCCACCTCAAGCATACCCCTCCGGTCGAACCTCCAGTGGTTAGGTCGCCGTGGTCCTTGTTTGGTGAACCACAACTTGAACATCACCTCTCAAGCTCCTTAAGATGGCGTCATTCCGATTGATTTCTCCCAGAAAGGGTCATAAACTCTGCTCGAACCGTTACATATTTCCTAACCACACACCTTTTACCACCATGGGCAACCGAAAACTATCCCAAGTGCCATCGTGCGTAGTTTTGATTGTTTCGCTCACTATCACTCTTCTCCCCAATGATTGTACCCCATTGGTCTAATTGTCACCTTCTTTGTTTCTCAGGCCAACCGCGAACAAAACTGATCTCATGTCGCGGGCGATCCGGACTCGCAGCCACCAGGCTCTCCAGGCCCAACGCATGGCCGCAACTCAGTAAGCACTCATTTGTCTGCATGTGATGGGCGTAGACATGCTCATGTTGGTGTTATCATTCTAGGACATGTCATGTCACATCCCCTGAAATAAATCGTGCTTTGCTATTCATTTAAATGATTGTCTTTGTGCCATTGAGGCCATAGGCTCATCTCATCGATGAGCCGAGTTCCTCCATACAGTGTGAAAACTCTGCAGGCTGCCTACAGAACTACACCTTCCCCTGTGCGAGTTCACTCTCATATTCAGTGAAAACTCTTCTTGAGCGAATTTCGATCATGAGCTCATGACCAAAATGACATCTGACTCTTGACTTTTGAAGTGACTCTTGAAGTCATCTCATCCGAGAGTAAGATCTTACAACTCTTAAAGTCATCTCATCCGAGTAAGCGTTCAGAGATCACTTTTTAAGCTTTTAAAGACTTGCTTTCCACAGGTGAAAAACGTTTAAACTAACGTCTTCCAACTCTTAAAGTCATCTAATCCGACTCAGCGTTCAGGGATCACTTTTGACACTTTCGAAACTTTTACAGCCTTCCTTTTCACAGGTGACAAGCGTTGTCTTGATAGTTCGTTACAAACAATGGAAATGATAATCCCTAACATTTAACTATAGAGAAATCTTTGAGAACTCAAAAAAGATTGCGCTCAGAACAAATAAGGGAATAACTACAACCAATATCCACAAACAGCGTATAAACGGTGCATAAGAGCCCCGGAGAATATCTCCCAAGTCCTGTCCACAATAATATCGATCTTATCACTGTTTGCAGCTTGTTGGATACTTTGAGTACGTCGGAAGTGCGACTTGAGCACACTGAACGCTTTCTCAATCGGGTTGAAATCGGGAGAATACAGAGGGAGGTATAATATGCGTATACCTCTTTCTGCGGCCAGTTCTGCAATCCTACCTCCATGGTGGATGTGGGCGTTATCCATGACTAAGACGGAGTTTGCTTGCGGGTAAGCATTCATTACAGGGAACTGGGTGCCAAGGTATGTCAGTTTGCCTATCGTGTGGAGAGGTGGAAAACACATCGGGACTTACCAGTCGGTGTTTGAGAAAACCTTCGAAATCGGCACGAAGGTAGCTGCCTTCCTGGCAGTCCAGCGCCAATACGCCGCCTTGGAAGATGGCCGGAAGCAGGGAGAACCGTTTGCCCGCTCGACTCCAAGGGACCCGTTTGGTACGATGGCCTATGATGGCACGACCGAACTGGCGTTTCAGGAAGCGCTCCTGAATTGCGCACTCATCTACATCATGATCACAAAGACTATAATTAGAAATATACAGTCCAGCAATAGGTGAAGAAGTATACAATCTCACCTAAGAAAACCAGCATGTTTGGGTTTAAAGCACCTACCGCATGTAAATACTGGGCTCGTTTCAAAGGGCTTTGTGAGGGATGTACGGTCCGAGACTTCTTGAGGGAGATGTTGAGGCGATTTCTGAGGTCTTGGGCCACCGTAGGCAGGGAGATCCATGTTCCACTCCGGCGGTACACAGCATGGCGATATTCGTCAAGGTAAAGACCAGGATTGCCGTCTAGGATCTCCAGCATAAAATCTCGGTCCTCGTCCGACAAGATCAACCGCCTCCCAAGTGTGGCGTAGTCCTCAGGGTTACGAACTACGGCGGCCGTCCTTCGATACAACGCGTGCCATTGTGAGATGGTGCGTGAGCTCACCGGAGATTTCAGTATGGCTTGAACTTGAGCGATTGTTTTGCCTTCCTTAAGGTATTGGATGGCCAACACCTTAAGGCTGGCTTCGTACTGACTCGGACAAATCCTTGGCACTCGAGCCATTCTTTGAGGTCATCAAACAAAGCGTCAGCAGGAGGGATCGGACTTATGGAAGGGTGAGCTGGTCTGACCTTGAAAGTGACTGCACCGATCACGCTGAAGACGGTGGGGATGCGAGGTAGGAAGTGGCGATTTGGAATGGGGGAACGGAAGTCCGGATGATATCTGGCCTGTCGAGGTTGGATGTGTAGGAGGAGCGACAGGGTGACGTGGCGGGATCTCCAACAGGGACCTCAGGAAAGATGTCCGGGTTTTATGTAACCACAAGTGGTGCACAGCCGGTACCCAAACACCACCTGTACAGCCCTGTATCCGCTGTACAGGGCCGTGGCGTTCAACCAAAAAGTGATCAAAAATTTGCACACATGACACCGATTTTGTAAACAGCTGTAAAGAAATTGCTAGCCATGGAAATCCCAAGATACGTGATGCCGTGCACCGCAGTCCGAGCTCATCGATATGACGATTTGGCATGGAAGAAGAGAGAGGCGAAAGATTGTGGATGCCGAACTTCTCAAAACATGCTAGCTATAGTTACGTGCCTCGTTTTGGAAGCTTGAAAGGTCACCTTCTGATGTTTATTGGTATCATCACCTAGTCGACGGGCAAGAATTCCGATGGTCACTTCACCAATTGTTCTACAACTTTGAATTATAATTTTACAGATTGCGCCGGCAGGCACTGGCTGCACTGGCTAGGCTAGAAGTTTGCTCGTTGCTTGCTGGTTGCTCAACCTCCGTGCAACACCATATCCAACAGGACATAGAGCATGTTCCGCTAGCGTTTGGGTCAACACTCCTCGCTGCTTACCACGTGGCCATAATTCATTCAAAGACTCCTCTTCATCCGTCGCTGTCTGTCCCCAAGTCAAGTCATTTTTCCTGAAAGCAATCGATTTTCCGCCATCCTTCATCTTTACGCGCAGTAAACCGTGGTCTAATTGAAGCGCATTGCCCGTAATAATATTATCTATCTCGTCTTTCTCATTTCTATTCTCGGAATTGTATCTAGTTTCTTGGTCTATATATCATCCAACCGCCCGTCTTTCCTTTCTAATTTTCGTTTCAAGTGTTCATATCTTTCATCAACTGGTAAGCAGCTGATTGGGTATTTCTAGCCTATCGATCGAAGTTTTGAAAGCTCATGCTATATATCCATCGTCCTAGATCCAAGTACAATTTCCAAAATAAAGTAATCTTCAACGCTTGGACAGTTAGGATGTATCTGACCAAGTCGATCACATTCTCCGTCGCGCTGGGACTCTCGCATGCGATGTCAAGCTTACAAGCTCAAAATTCGAGTTCCGAGACGCCCTCAAATTCTACTGGAAACAATCACATTGTTAACGTCGCAAAAGATGGCCTGACTTTTGAACCGCCGAATGTGAAGGCTCAGAAAGGTGACACAATCACATTCGTTTTCTTCCAAGGGTGAGCAAATTCCTCCTCGTCCGCTTTACATGCTCGTCCAGGTGATGGTTTGCTAATTGCTAGTTTATCTCTCCGTACCCCAGGGGACACTCCGTCACTCAAACCCATTTCGATAACCCTTGCTCTGGGACAAAATCGGCATCAACTCCGTTGTGTCAACTTCCGCCCCCGTTGCTCAGTACAAGCGTGCCAACAGAAACCTCTGCCCAATCATCCTATCCGACTATCGCAACTCCAACTGACGTATCTGCCACTAATGTCACGGGTGGTACTCAACCTGCATTACCAAGTGTGGATACACCACCGCCTGTATCATCGGTATCCGATTACCCAACCTCCTCCTCGAACACATCAGCTCCCCCCTCAATTGATATACCTTCCTCCCCAGATGTCCCTACTGAAACCTCGCCGACATCTTTCCCATCCGAAGGTCTGGGCACACCACCAATAATACCAGCCAATGCAACTCCCGCTGTGAATTGTACTTCAGGAGGTACTCCGAATATCACCTCGAGCGAACAACCACCACCAACTGACCCAGTTGTAGCTCCTCCAGCCGCAAATGAAGGGATTGTCTCTAGCGTGAGCTCTGGAATGGGTACCGGAATGGATACACAACCTCCCCAAGTTTGCGATGCGAAGTGTATTGAAGTGACCGGTGCATGTCAGATGTCTGCTGATTGCACACTTCAGCAACAATCGCCCGTTACCACTAAGTGTAAGATCGAAGATGGGGTCTGTAAGATTTGCGGTCAAAACACGAACGCAAACTCAAGTCAGAACCCCGATTCAAATGCCAACGCTGATACGACTTCCTCTGACGAGACCGCCTTGACACCACCTGCCGAAGTGAACAGTGGCAATGCACCTCCTCAAGACGGTTCGGTAAACCACTGGCGTCAAAAACGCAGCTCAGAGCTACACCCGATCTCCCGCCGTCAAGCTCAGATCGACGGAGCCAGCATGTTTCCTCAAGAAACGCCTAACGATCCCAACAACAATGCAATCGCAGCTCCCGTGAATCCAACATTATCTGATCAAACAGCTGCCAATCCTACTGACCCTTCGACACCATCGACCACCAATTATACCGACCCTTCGACACTATCGCAAGATGGCCCAGGTCTGGACTCGGGCTTAGGTAAGTTCATTCCGAACGCAACAGCTTTGCTACGTGGTTGCTCAATGAATTTTTTCATGATCAGTCAAAGTCGATGACGCCTCAAAATCCACCGGAATTCAATGGAAAATCACAATCACAGATGACAGCAAACCTCTTTGGTTTATGTCGGCCGGTCAGAACGACTGCACAAGTGGAATGGTTTTCGCTGTCAACGCGCCAGAATCAGGTCATACAGCTTCGGAGTTTGCTTCTATCGCAAAGACCAGTACTTGTGCTAGTCCCGTGAGTAGAATTCATAATGAAATAACTTGGAGGTGGAGCTAACAGATCGATTTGTTTTCAGTATCCTTCTTGTACCAAACTCTCAGGAGACGGAGCAACAGCATCAAGTCCACCTCCTAAATGTGCTGCTTCAGCACCACCACCTGATCAAAACGGCACCATCACATCTGGGAGCCCTCCAACTGACCCGACCGTACCACTTACTCCTTCGAGCAATGATACCGCGCCTCCTTCGAGCAATGATACCGCGCCTCCTTCGAGCAATGATACCGCGCCTCCTTCCAACAATGATACCGCGCCTCCTACGGTTGTTTCCGCTACTGGGACCAACCCACCACCAGCCACTCCTCCAGCTCAAACTTATCCGCCTGTTGCCAATGCATCAAGCGGAGGTGACAGTACCGGTGAACAATCCAGCAACGGGACTTCAAGCTCAACCAGTGACGGTTTTTATTCATTCCACAATTCATATTCATTCTATGCCACCTTGTCTCTAGTTTTGGTCTCCTTGTTAACATTGATTTGAGAATTGTAAGAGCATTTTGAGGGTGTATTTGGGATGGAAATGGATCCCTGATTGAAATTTATTTTGTGATATACTTTTCTATAAATGGGCTTGTTTAATCCAAACGATAGGTTTCTCGTATCAGTTTCTTCAAGTTGACAATCTTCTTGAATATCATGCTTTCATCTATGTTGAACCTTTATTGTGACTTTCTTTCAATACATTTTTTTCTAGTAATCAAGTTTTTTTTTGTGTTCGAAGCGAAAAAGGACCGAGAAAAATCAGAAAAATCTCGAACATAAAAGGATACCAGTCTGTACAAAGATTCGATTTGGAAATGATGCAAAGGGTTCTAAACCGAGTTGGCCTTGCTGGTAATCCTACTTCTGAGTGAAGAAATTGAGAACTTCTCAAATGATATATTGGGCTAAAGATGACCGTAGTCTTCCAAGTGATAGCGAAAGTCACAGTCTGAAGACGCTTGAAGTTGAAGATACATCTAAATCCTGAATTCCGGATGAGGTCAGATAATTGACTCATAATCTCGCATTTTGGAAATGTATAGTGGTGCTTCGGATACAAGCAAGGCTTGGAGTCTGTGATGTTTGATGAACGCAAGATTCAATGGTGCCAATATGGAGACACGGCGTTCAAATTGATGTGTTGTGAATTGCCTTGTGTCGAAATACCACATTTCGTGTTTCCTAACCTCGGGGTAGACACACTCACTGACATCTCGTCTGAAGCTTGTTTCCAATACAAGCTCGCAAGCCCAGTAGAAGTGTATACTTAGCAAATGACTTGGTCTTCTTCTTTTACATCAGCTGTCCTAACATAACTTTCGTAGCGTGGCAGCTATGAGTATGTTACTATTTCGTTTCTTCCAGGGGTTGTCAAATGCCATGCCGGGCGCAACCTGGTAGACCTACGTAGAAAGGGTTTTACAAGGTGCTGCATCATTTGCTTCGAAAGCTATGTCGTTCCAAGGGATTTGAATTCAGGAACAGCGCAATTGGGCGACTAGGCAATCAAATTGGATCTGAATCAGCGCTGAAAGATGTATTCTCGTGAGTCATCAAGCTATCTGATGATTCATACAAATAGGCAGTTCTTTTGTTTCATTTTGCAGACCCATCAGCTCATACCACTCATCTTCCAACCCCTTTTCTCCAGCTATCCTTCACAGTAATTAATTGTAAATACTATTGGCATCTTCATTACCTTATCAACTTCAAAAAAGGCCGCCAAACGAGATTAAATCGACCCAACAACAAAGAAACACCTCACTGTCAAAAATCATGCGCTCCTTCACAATGAAAACTTTGATTGTCAACATCGTCCTCGCAATAGCGATTTGTGCGGTCAAAGGCGCTACGACTCCGCCATCAGCAGGAATCGATCCAACACTTACACAGAAATGTGTCAAGACATTCCACGGTACTTGGTTAGACGCACAAAAAATCAAACAAACCGGTTATGGTAAGTTCTTTCACCTCAGTTGATTTCTATTAATGAAGATCTAGATGTTCTAATCATTATAATTTTCTATCTTTAGCTTGTAGTACAACAGGAAACACTGCGCCAAACGACGTCTACCTTTGCAAAAAAATCGTGACAGAGGCCGGTAAGTAACGCTTTGTCCTCTTCAAGATTTTCTGTCAGAATGAAAACTGATTATCAATCTACAATCCATTGAAAAAACAGAGGCTTCAGGATGCGGGAATACCAAAAAAACTTCCAAGTGTCAGGGAGGTTACACATCTCCACTCACGGATAACAAAAAGGACGACGGCAAGAAAAATGACGATAGTAAAAACAAAGATGCCAAAGCCAAAGATGACAAAACCAAAGACGACAAATCAAAAGCAGCGGCTAGTTCAGGTGAGTTCCAAAACTTCCTTTTATTGTCACCAAACGGTGCACATATTGATGGTCTCATATAATTTTAGCCTTTTGTCGTGATACACCTGGAAGTCCTACTATGAAGTGCGACACAATAATTCGACCGACTGGTCAGTTTTTCATCTACTTCCTTTTTGGTGTTCCGATTCTGACGTGTTCACTTTATTTTTCACAGTCCTTGGAGAGTGTGTCAAATCTGGTCCGAACACTCACGACGAACACAAAAATGATTGGCTCTCACACAAAGCTTGATACGTATCAAAGTATCATCATTTATCTCTATACCCTCTTGATGTAATTCTTATATGTAAAACTTTCTTGTATAAAGTATGTTATAAAATTTTGTACCACTTTCTTTACAGAAAAAAAAACAAAAATTCGTTGTAAATATTCTCTTTCGTCCTCTTTCTTTCAGACATGAAGTAATAAAACCAAAAAGAAAACAAAGGCCAGGTCTAAATCTTGTGACACAAATGGGGTGTAAATTGCTTCAAGGGCAACCCCACAAAGAAAAATATGTGTAGCTTTCTTCATACCGAGATAACAAAACTGTTTTGATTTTTTTGTTTCTCTTGCTTTCTCCAGCAACTATATTGAGCTGTCATTCAGATGACTTGCAGTTTTATAGACAAACATATTGTGAAAAAATGTAAAGACTTTGAAAATACTTTCTAATGAAACATGTAGTGAACATCAGTATTCAGTTAGGCGTAAAAACAAATGAAACCAAGTATCATGAATTTGATGAAGAACGAAAGTTAGTAAGCTTCATTTGGAATGGAACATCACATACAGTACGGCTGCCAAGTGAGAAGTTGAACCAACAAAGAGAAGATACATCAAGAATGCTGAGGACAGAAGAAAATGTGACTTGAAAAGCATTCAAACAATTAGTTGGACAACTATGTCACCTGATACTGATACTTCCACACATGAAACCGTACATGAGGTTGATGCATCATTACAGTAGGTAAAGTCTACTGTGTACTACCTTCCCACCAGCCAAACAAAATTTTGATTTCAAGCTCAAAAACAGAGAACACAATGCCATTATCTTGAGCTAATACCTAGACAGGTAGAATCAGAAGGTCAAGCTTCATCAATCCATATCTTCTTGGGATGATCTGAGGCACTGATCTTTATTTTTCCTGTAAATGGTCAACATTTGGGCCCAAGGATAGGCTAGGTACCTAAGCTACTTAACCTAGGCACTTAAGATTCTTAGGCCAGGTACTTAAGCACTTAAGTACCTGGGAGGGGCTGATACATACACGCAATGCCTGACCCAACTAAGTTTGCCTGGTGCAGTTGTAAGGGCACCAGTTCTTGATGGATCTGTGGGTGACCTGTGTTTGATCCTGCTCAAAGATAGATTTTGCTGGCACATCATTTTGGATCAAAGCGTTCTCAATTTATGCTCAATCACAATCTCGATTGATGTTATCATAACCTTAATTGATGTTATTTCTTGCTTGATCTTGATGTCTTAACCTCAAATGAGGTGCAGCAAGCCTCTTCTTGACTTTTAAAATGAAGAAGAGGCAAGAAATCATAGAAAGGGGCCCACAAAACATTCACTTTCATGGTAAGGACTGTTATGAAATAGAAGAGCAACAAGTGAAAAGAACCTGAGTCAAGAGACTTGAGAGCAAGAAGAGTAACAACTGAAAAGGGATCGAAACAAGAGTGTTGAGAATTGTTGAGAAAAAGGATTGTGACAATTCAGAAAGACCAAGTAAAGACTGTTAAGAAAGAAGGAATTGACAAGTAAAAAAAGATCAACAACCAATAGTCAAGACAAAAAGGAGTGATAACCAAAAAGATCTGAGCAAAGACAGTTGAGCAGAAGGAGTAGATGTGCTTGATGTGCTTGCTGAGCTTTCTTCTGGTTAGAAAAGACCATTTTTCTGAGGTGCTGAGAGGGCTGGATGGCTTGGTTCAAAAATCTACTAGAAAAAAGTGGTGAAAGTGGTATAACAGAGCTTCTTCCCAGTTCCCACCCACACTATTTCTTTTTCATAAACAGCCAACGTTTGGGTACGGGGGCGGCTGTGTTCAGGGGTAGAACAGAGTAGACTTTAACTACTGTACTAATCATAAACCCTCATTTTCATCAAATCACAACCTGTAACAACTGCAGAAATTTATCTCAGGAAATTCTGAAACAGATTTTGATTTATAATAATACCCATAACTTCTACAATTATTGACCAAACCCTTTGATTTTGAGTCCATTGGAAAGCTGAACACTTCATCCAGAGATTTCATTGAGATGTCGGATGTGTAACTAGTCTTCCAAAGATTTCAGGACAAAGAATGTGTATATTTATTCAAACTTTGATAACTTGTTCCATTCAAGAGCTATGGATTTGAGACCTTAGCAAAGTACGTTTATCACACGTGTGGCATTCTATGGAGCTAGCAACCAAGGCTTTTGGACAAGAATTGACAAAGGTATGTGGTTTCTTAGAAATAAAAATGTCCTTGAGAATCTCATGGCCCAAATTTTGGTATTGGTTACAGGTTGTAATTTGATGAAAATGAAGGTTCATTGTTAGTACATTCATCAATATGCACTCTAAAAATACAAAAAATAATAGAATTGAAGCTCCAATAGCACGAAACAAGGTTGATATTTTTTGGCATTTTTGGCTCTCTTCCTGATCTCTCAATATTTTCCTAGGTAAATACTTTTCTTTTCTGTCCAGAAAATATTATCTTCTTGTTAGTGAGATAGATAATGATTTTCATTGATGGTTTTAATTTCTTTTTGTGATAATCTACAAACTCTTTTTGATAATTCAATACTCCAATTGGGGTCAATCTCATACCTAGAGGCTCAAAAACATACAAAAACTGAAGGCAGAAGAAACAAATGTGACTTACACTTGCTGCAGTGTCACTATAATGCTACATGTTACAGCTGAATGTTTTTTGAAAACTTTGAGATGATTTTAAGCAATGTGAGGAGCAACTTCCTCAAAAAAAGCCATGTACAATGTGTGGAAAAGAACAGCAAACAGTTTTTTTCTTTTGTCCAGAGATTCATGTGGTGGGTGTGGCACAACAAGGGCGCCTTTTGGGCACGCCCGGGCGTAGGCGTGAGGGCATGCCCGGAAAGTCAAAATATGGGGTGGGCGCGCCCTTTGAGCAAGTACTGTTTGTCAAGTTTAAACAAGCCAAGTGGAAGAAATTGATGGAACAAATCTATGGGACAAAGACAATCTCTTCATTTGATTTTTAACATTTTCTTTTTCCTTTATTCAAGGAATACATCATCTGCAAGAATTGATCTTCCCCTATTGACACTTTGAATAGTTATTTTTGTCTTTTGCCATTGTTTTTTTATCATTTTTTTGATTTTTTTTTGGTTTTGTATACCCAAAAGGCGCGCCCTTGGCGCCCCCACTATAGGCTTGCCTTTGACAAAGTCCAAAAGGCGTGCTGGGTGCGCCCTGAATCCAAACCCTGGGCCCACCATGTGACCAGAGATCCATTGCTTGAAGGGAAAGGCTGTAGAGGAGTTTTGAGGTGCTCTCCTGCAAAAGGCTTTAACCCTGAGCAATATGTTTGTAGGAGTTTGGCATAAGTCCCTTGCTTGCTTCAGCCTTGCAAGGTGGGTGTGGGATTTTGATAAGTTTATGGGTTGCAGTATAAGCTCTACTAGAGGTATTGAAGGTCTGTAGTTTGTATTGTATCCTGCTCAATCACATTCAGCCAGCATGATTTTGAGTAATTGATAATCTGTTATTTTCAATGTACAGATATTCAAAGAGAGAACATTAGCCATAGAAGTAAACCATTTAACTGGCTATTGTGTTCTTCCCAAGTACATACAAATTCTAGAGGAGCTGTGTGCTGCAAAAACCAAACATTCAATGATGTACCCTAAAGTTGGCCTTGAAATTGAAAAATGATCAGATCTTCCCTTCTCTTGGACAACTCTTAAGTGATGTGCATCATTCATCTGGTTTTAGACACTGAAAAATCATATCCTGTTTTCAAGGGTGCCACTATCACCATGTAAATATCCTTGTAGCATGTCAACATGCACACACAAAAGACTTTCCTTACACCCTGTAAAGACCCATCAAAGAGGTACCACAACAAGCACATCTTCCCCTTATCACCTGGGAGGTTGAAAGTCAGTTGAATCCTGCTGACCACAAAGGATTCCACAAATCCTTTGAATAAATCACTATTCACAAAGGGTGCTCAATGGCAATCTCAGTCTAAATCTGACCAAAAGACTTTGAGATTTGTTTCAAAACCCTCCGTGTGTGCATGTCGATGTGCTACACAAATATTCACACAGTGTATACTATACTGGTTTAGGTATAGTTGGGTATAGTAAAATTTAAACTATATTATACTATACTGGGTATATATAGTACAGTCGCAACAATACTTTAACCAACTATACTCAGTATAGTATATTTTTATCAACTGTACCGGAAGAAGGGTTGTGCATGTTTTCAATCAACTTGTCCAACTATACTGCACAGTATAGTATAGTATATCTGAGTATAGTTCATCTATGCTATACCAAGTATAGTTCAAGTCAGTATAGTTGGACTCTATACTATACTGAGTATAGTGACAGCCTTGCTATTGTGAGCTGGGTTGCTTGTGATTATCTGGCTTGTACCGCAACTTTGTGCGCATGCAAATACAACTTTTCTGCAGCGGGAAGAATTGCCACTGCAGGCCAAGGCCTGGCTCCACCCGCCATTGTACAAGCTGTTGGGTGTCACAAATGGCTCAGCCAGGGATTTAAAGTACCTGAAGATTGTACAGAGGCTGTGGCTGAAGTTTAAAACATGAAGGAAATGAAATCTTTGAAGAAGTTCAATAAGTCTTATATAATCAATATTAATATTTGGTTCCTCCTGGAAGATATGCTTGGTAACCCTAACCCAAACAATACAGTGTGTGCTCTTAAGCACAACTAAGCCCCTTGCGTGGCCGCGTCCACGCCCTGCTCCCTTCTATGTAAAAGAAAAACCTGGATTCTAAAAGATGTAGTGTGTTTTGTTCATTTTGTTGCTTTTTTGTTGCGGATTAGGATTAAAGGTCCGCAAGGAAACCAATTTCTTGATTGATCTGTTGCGCCTTGTATGGTTTTGGATTGTTTCACAACAAAACAAAAATGGCAAGACTTGTGGTTCATTTTGGTGTGATTTGGGCATTGGGTTAAAGTTAATTTGCAACTGACTGGATGATATCAATTTAGATGGGGATAAGAGGATGGC